TAAAGATACAACCCTAGAGAAAGTACTGAGTTCAGGGTACCCACGTACTGAGAAAGGCCTAGCAGGGTACCCAATATGGGTACTTCAAAAATTCTCAGTAATTATACTGATGTAGCTACTGAGTGTGGTTCCCATAAAAGTACGCTCACTTAAGAAGTACTTGTATGGGTACTCGCATCTGTAATTTTACTGAGGCAAGCTATACAGGGTATCCTATATTTATCGCGTTCTGTGTGGCGACTATTCATTCACCGTTTTCTTCTTCACGCACGGTTCCATATAAACAACTGAGTAAGCCATAAGGAATTAATCCATTTTCATACCAATTTTTTCTAGATTATTTCTTGACTATTTCTTAGTCGAGAACATGCCGATCTTGATCGTAGAGTAATAGCGGACTACTCCAAAGTGGTCTGATGGATACCTGGCCAACTCAAGTCGGGTCAGATCCCGGGATTGTACCTGCTAAGTTTTCGGAATTGAAAAAATTAAATTAAATAAAATCGAAAAAAAAATGTAGTAAATTGCTTTGAGAGAAACAAAAATTAAAAAAAGTTAAAGGTCAGGTTCGATCCTGAACATACTGAAATTTTTGTAACAGGGTACCTAGAAATACTATACAATAGTACTCAATTGAGTATCTGATCAGTACCTTCAAGTACCCAGTTACTACACATTTTGTAGCAGGGTACTTGTTAAAGTACCACTTAGGTACCTGAAAGTACTTCCAAGTACTTTGATACCCAAAAGTTCCTGTGACATACTGGTAACAGGGTACTTTTTCGGGTACCTTTAACTCAGTACATTCTCTAGGGTTTCTATCTTTTCCCGTCCACTCTATTGTTGGTGTTTAGAATTACCCAATCAAAAAATTATTTTTCATTGGCTATTTTGTCGCTAATTGTGACCGTCGTGCATACTTTAGCATATTACGATCACTACATTGCAAATGTGAGCGTAGATACGTCGCATTGAATGCAGTATATCTATCTAACGTCAACTACAACTATTGCGTCACAGAATAGCCACTACGCGCAACCGCGGCGCTACTGTTAAAAAAGTGGTGATATGAAATTGTTTCAACGTCTTAGTGTTACAGACTTGACTTTTAAAAGTAGAAACAAACTATTGATTGGTTGACATGACTCTGACATCGTTCTTTTTTTCTCAGGTAAACGTAGATCCAAATGCTGTGGCACATGAACTGGAACACATTCTCAACAAAATTGACTGCGAAGGCATTGTAATGGTTTCAGACGATGTCACACTTGAAACATTGCAAGAGGTCGTACCTAATTTTGATCGTGGATCATCTCAAAATGTGCCAAGTCTCAAACATATTATTCTAACTGGATCAAACAAGACTACTATGCAAAACGTACATTCGTACAATGACTTGATCAAACAAAAGGAACCCAAAGAGACTGAGGAACAAGATGCACTGGCTGCACGACAAGCATCGATTGACCCCGATTCAATGCTGACGATTTTTCTGACATCGGGCTCAACAAGTGAACCTAAAGCGGTCGCTATTACAAATTTTGGAGTGGTCAACACTATAAGGTTCCATGTAGATCATTTTGGGCCGTTGTTGTCGCGTCCTTGTGCACCGCATTCTATGTTTCATATTAGTACAGGTATCTGGACTATCCTAATTGTCGCAGTGGAAAAATGCACTGTGGTTATTCCCAGTGCTAAGTTTGATGCAATATCAACGATGCTTACAATTCATCAGGAAAAGTGCACAAATATTATTGCTTCACCTCTTCTTTTTCGTGACATACTCGCACATTCAGATCGACATAAATACGAGTTAAGTTCGTTGAAGTATGTTGCTCTTGGCTCAACACCTATACAACCACAATTTTTGCGCAAGCTCGAGACGGAACTCAGTATTGATCGAGCAGGCCAAGCGTACGGGATGACAGAGAGTGGATGTCTTCTCACAAGTTCTCTCTACTGTGACGACAATCGACGATACACGTCAATTGGTCAATGTATACCACACATGGAGCTCAAAATAGTTGATGATAATGGTCGAACTGTTCCGATTGGATCTCAAGGAGAAATTTGGGCTCGAGGCTATGCAATCATGCGTGAATATTACGGAGATGATGAGGCAACATCCGAGACAATTACCGATGCTGGCTGGTTGCGAACAGGTGATTTGGCAACAATGGACCAAGATGGATATTTGTATTTTGTCGGACGAAAAAAGGAGATGATCAGTCAAGCTGGACAAAAGATTTCCCCGGCTGAGATTGAACACGCTATTGAAGAACACGCAAGCGTCGCCGAGGCTCATGTCTTTTCAATTCCTGATCCTCGAATCGAAGAGGTCATATGCGCATTTGTGAAACTGGATTCGGGTATGCAATGCGAAGTCGATGAACTCAAAACCTTTCTTGGCAACATGTTGAGCGACTACAAGGTGCCTAAACACATACGTTTCGTCGACAAATTTAGTCGAACATCACTGGGCAAGGTGCCAAAGTTCAAGCTAGCTGAAGAAATGGAGAATACTTCCTATTCCCAAAAGTTACACATTCCTGCATCTCTTTCTGAATTTCTGCAATCCAGAATTTCTATACATCTCGAATCTCTAGCAAATACAGGAATTCCTGGCCATTCCTGCATACTCCCAAATTACAAATAACTCATGGATGGCAAAATGATCATTTATCGAACTTCAATAAATGCAAAGCGGAATTCCGGAATTTGTGCACATCGGGAATCACTAGCAAATGCAGGAATTCCTCCTCATTCCTGCACATTCCAGCCTATTCCGGAATGACAAATATCTCATGGATCACTACACGATCATTTATCGAGCTTGAAAAAATGCAAACCGGAATTCCGGAATTTGTGCACGTCCGGAATCACTAGGATATGCAGGAATTCCTGCTCATTGCTGCACATTCCTGCACATTCCTGCGCATTCCGGAATTACAAATATCTCATGGATGCCTAAATGATCATTTATCGAGCTTGAATAAATGCACACCGGAATTCCGGAATTTGTGCACATCCGGAATCACTA